CAAAACTTTGCTTCTTTTTATCAAAACTTTACACACAAATCCAAGAACTGCACACACAAAATGCCTCACATCTCTTGCAAAATGAAGCACTGCATTCAAAATATCACAAACACATCTCAAAAGCAAACATTTGCAAACACCTTTGCCATAATATTAATTCCTGTTAGATTTTTGTCTGTTACAAAGAAAATTGTGTGTTGTGTTTTGCAAAAAGTGTTTTATGAAATTGAAGGGTTAGTCAAAGGCTGAGAATCAGTGTATGGTTTTGCAGATTTGGTGTGTGCTTCTGCTGTTTGAGTGTCAGCTTTCAGAAACTGTGTGAGAAGTAAAGTTCCCTTTCAGTCGGTCACTCTCGACGTCACGTCGGATGACCGACGAATCTCGCTTAGAGAGACCAATCCACTTCGAGTGTAAACTAAACAAGCCAATGTACATTGGCATGTGATTATTGCATCCAGCTGTCGCTGATCACAGCGCGAGTATAAGTAGGCAGCTGGTGCAGCGCATATTCAGCTTTTTGCTTCAGAGCCGAGCGGTCTCATTGTTCTGCTCCTGATCTTCTGCTTCAGTGAAACTACAAGTTCGAGTACAAGCACGCTCTTAGGAAGCTCTCGTGCTGGTGGTACGGCACTTCAGTGGCGGTGGTTCTTCCTGTGTCGAGTGGGTTGCACACATCAAGCTTCACTACCCACTGTTTGTGTTGCAGGCGGCCATCTCCCTTGTGCGCTTCAGCACACTAAAAGAGCAGTTCTAAAAGAGCATTCACGGGTGGAACATCTTTTTAAAGACGCGTCTTTTTAAAGATGCCCTTCCATCAGTTTCTGGATGTGGTCGTTACCTGGCGCCGGGTGATGGTCGCGATCACACGCTGAGGTGGCTTTCGTGGATGAGTCATGCTCCCATTGCCCGGAGGGGCGCTACCTCTGGCAGCGTCCGGACTGGTCTTACGGTGACGGTGAGGAATTCCCCTCCGAGGAACCAACCTCCGAGGGCTCCTCCTTCCGCCGGCACTTCGCAGCCAGTGGAGTCGCTGAGAGAACAGGCTGGACCCTCCCACTTGTATCTTTCGGTACTCCCACCGACGATCGGATGTCGATTGCTGCATCGGAGGGTGAGCCAGACTTTTCTGGAGAGGATGATCCGGCGGCGGTGCCAGATTCGGATCCGGAAATGATGGCTATGCTTTTCCGGGCCGCCAAGAGTGTCGGGCTCGAGAGGAAACCTCCACCGCCGACCTGATGGACGCGTACTTCCATGTTTCGATCCTTCAGCGCCATAGGCCATTCCTGCGGTTTGCGTTCGAGGGGCGGGCATACCAGTACAAGGTCCTGCCCTTCGGGCTGTCCCTGTCGCCCCATGTCTTCACGAAGGCTGCGGAGGCGGCCCTTGTTCCCCTGAGAGAACAGGGCATTCTCAACTACCTCGACGACTGGTTCATACTGGCTCAGTCTCAGGATCAGTTGTGCGAACACAGGGACTTGGTGCTCCGGCACCTCAGCCAGTTGGGCCTTCGGGTCAACTGTGAAAAGAGCAAACTCTGCCCGACGCAGAGGATCTCTTTTCTCGGTATGGAGTTGGACTCGGTCGAACAGACAGCACGCCTCATGCAGGAACGTGCCCAGTCGGTGTTGAACTGCTTGAATACGTTCAAGAGCAGGAGGGCGATCCCACTGAAAAAGTATCAGAGGCTCCTGGGGCATATGGCAGCTTCAGCGGCAGTCACGCCGCTGGGGCTGCTCCATAAGAGACCGCTTCAGCACTGACTCCATGGCCGAGTCCCGAGGTGGGTGTGGCAACACGGCACAGTTTATGATTTTTTTAAAATGTTGATGGGTTTTTGTTTTTGTTTTTGTTTTTTGTTTTTGGTATGAAAAGAAATATGGGGAAGACGGCTTTTCTCATTCATTCTTTGTGCTGTATTACATTTGTGTAGTAAAATGAAAAGATGTTATTCTTATCCTATAATGAAATACTTATGTGACAAATCATTCAGACTTCAAAGATAAAAGTTCATAGTCACTGTTCATGTTTTTTAGATCAGTGTGTTATGAATGAAATGTATGTTTTCTGAATGAGAATTGTGTTTTGGTGAAACAAGCTTATTTTGAGACCTATATGAAGTGTTTTGTTGGTCTGAGTGAGTTTTGGAGGTGAGATCAACTGTTTGGCAAAGATACATGTTGGTAATGCAGTCTGTATGAACAGTTTTGAAAAAGTGGCTTCAGTATTGAACAATGCTTGTTAGCAATTGAAAAAAAAACCCTGTAAAAGTAAACTTTTCTGACAGCTTATTGCTGGATTTTACTCTAGTCAGGAAAGTAGTCAGTAGTCAGATTCTGACAAAAGAGAATATGTTTTTGACTAAAATGTTTGACTTTGATCTGGAAGTTTGAGGTTTGCACAAGTTGGTGTGTAGTTTTGAGGTTGTGTTTATAGTTGTGAGAAAATGGTGAATTGTTTCATGAATTGTGTGTTGGCAATCAAGAAAAACTTTTAAAAGTCATAAACGTGTCTCACTTTAATACACTTAAGTGGTCTTTTATTTCATTAATATTATATCATCTGCAAGTACAGTATTTTAAAAATATAATTGTAGCATTTGAAGTACACTACAAGTGCACATTCCATACAATTAAGTGCACTTCTTTTTCACAAAAGACTACATAACATCAGTATATAATTTGGGAAAATATTTCTGTATTATAATGCCAAAATTGCCAATTTTTCAGTTGGCGTCTGTGAATTTCACGCGTTACAGCTGAGAGTTAAATGAATGTTCGCTCTCTGCGCAGCGCTGGATGTTTGCTGGCGGTCGAGCTCGCTGTGTCTGTGGACTTCAACATTTAAACATTGGAAACTCTCTCTTTCCTCCGCCATCTCTGTGCCATTCTTCACTTCTTCAGCCGGTCATTTTATCGCCCCAGCTCCACTCACATGACATCTGGCATTGGTTTATTTAACTAAAGACACTATATATGATTGACTATTTCCAGGAAAGGAAAATAACAATAAGCACACAGAACATAACTGCGTTGCATGTTCCAGAAACACAGGCTGCCCTGAACAGATGGTCCATCACAAACAGCCCGCACTCCATTCCACCACAATTAATCGTAATAACAGAAATGCCTAAACACTCCTCTCCTCAGAGGCAGCAGTGCTTTTTTCCCATCATGCTTTCATGGCAGGGTTATGAATGAGGGCTGAACATTCGGCCTTGAGCGCTCAGAAATGTTGCTCTCTGTCCGCCCGACATAAACGCTCAAAGTGACAAACGGCAGGAAGACAGGAACGCATGCGTGTGCACAGGACTCCTCTGACCCCGGCCTCGCTCGCCTGACAGAGACGGAAAACCCTGAAGTGAGCCCGTAAACGCCACTTCATGAATCCTGAAATGCATCTTGGCAGAGGATGCTGAATTTATTTATTGATGTACAGTAACTGACAGTATATTCCAATGTGTGTTTACTGTATATTCAGTTGTTGTGTTTTTGAACTTTTCTCTTCTATTGCTTTTCATCTACTGTAAGATCTCTTTACAGTAGTGTAGTGAAAGTAAACTTTTCTTACAGCTACAGATACAGCTGACTTTTACTGTATCTGCACCGCTCTATTTATGCTGCATACTAAAAGGAGGTTTTTGTAACAGTGTTTTGAATTGATCTCGCTAGTGTCCTCCGGTCAGTGTATTTGACAGGTTTGTGTGTCATCTGAGGCCAAAGATTAGATTCTGACAAGAGAATATGTTTTTGACTAAAATGTTTGACTTTGATCTGGAAGTTTGAGGTTTGCACAAGTTGGTGTGTAGTTTTGAGGTTGTGAGAAAATGGTGAATTGTTTCATGAATTGTGTGTAAAATGTAAATGATCAGGGGTTTGTCTGTGTCAGAAGAGCGGCATGATGGACACGCTAGACGGTCTGAGGCGCTGTCACTGTCTGTGTGCTTGTTCTCTGAGCTGTAGTGAACCGCAAACATACACCTCACCGCTGTTAGCAATGATTGTTCACCTCCATATGAGCTGGCAAATCGGCATATTTATCCTTGAGATCGGGGTGTATTTATAAATCTGCACAAACAGACGTGAAGCGCTGAGTGCCTTTACTCTGCCTTTGTGTGGAATTTAAAGCACAAACAAGACATCTCTCAGCAGTCTGTCATTATACTGAGTGCACTTTTCCTAGTGCACTATTCTTTCGTGTTCAGGTGTGTTGTTGGAAAGTACAGGAATCATGCAGGGCATCGGGTTCAATCTTGCCTATTTCTTGAGAAAATCTTATTAAAGTCAAAATGCATTGAAGATGTTTTGTTAGTATCCTACAGACTTCGAATAAAATGTAGCGTTCCATTCGTTGACAGCCATATAAACAAATACAGCAGTCTGATGATTCTGGAAGTTTAAATAAATGCAGTTTATGTTGTGTAAAATACAATATGCATTGAAAGACTTCTTATATATAATATGTAAAAATTCAAGACTGTAATGACAATGACTGTTTTAAACAGCAAAACAAATAGAAGTCACTACAGCAATAGTGCTCTCCTCTGCCATGATTATGGCCATCCAACGAGGAAACTTGCATCCAAACGATCTCAAGGTTTCCCAGTCTTAAAAGTAACTTGAGAGGCCGTTCATGTCCAATTTCTGACTCGGAAAATGATCATTCTGATAACATGTGAAGGCAGCATGAATATTCACACCTGATCATGTTTGCTGACCTCATTCTTGATTCTGCACTCAGAGTGTCATCTAGATGTGAGGGGCAGGTTTTTGTTTTTGGTCTGACCTTCTGTTGTTCTGAAACCGCATGCATGTTTATTGCAAACCTACATCTGAGAAGGGTTTGGTTTCTGGAAGCGTGGCATGTTTTATGCAAACACAACAATCTCTCAGGTGAGCCTCAGGATTCACTCACTCGTGAAGAATCTGCCTCATGATGTCAGAGTTTTTCCTCATGCCGTGTGGTTTGCATGAGCTGTGTATGTTGGATGCGTGACTCACATGAAGTTGACGCAGCCGGTGCCAGGTGGAGGAGCGATCCAGATGAAGCTGAGGCTGGTGGAGGGCAGGTGACTGACGTGAGACGCCACCACACTGCACACAAACTGAGTCCCGAACTGCCTGTCTGACATCACCCCTGACAAACACACACATGAAGACAACAGAGTTTGACATGTGAGCTCATCGTAACTATTTGTGGAAATCAACACAATACAAGCGGTTTGCCTGCGAGATGGAAACGAAGAAGTTTTTGCTTGCAAGTTGTTTTCCAGAAGGTATTACATTTATATTGATATGTGGAAGCAAGAGGTCATGTTAGTCCCAGCTGGGAAATGTTGTGGAAATGAACTATTTCACCCAGCAGAGCTTTGAATGAAGAATTCTTTTTTTTCCCCATTCAAATGTATGATGTATGATTTTGAAACAAATGCATAAATCCTGCTATTTTTATATTCCTTTTTTGAGCACCAAAATGTGACCTGAATAAAACACAGTCAGTGGTATTTTTGTGCTACGGTTCCTGTCACACTTCTTTCTGAAAATGCTAAAAAGAAAAACAGAACGTCAAAATACAATTAATGAGGAAAAGAGAACATACACACACTCACACACACATGTTGGGTTTCCGTGTTTTATGGGTTCATTCCATATTCATAATGGTTTTTCTACTGTACAGACTGTATTTTCTATCCTCTTACCCTAAACCTCTCACACAAAACTACAGGCCATTTTTACGTTCTCTAAACACTTCATTCTGTACGGTTTATAAGCTGTTTTCCTCGTGCAGAGCAAACAAATGTCCCCACAAGGTCAAGGATTTTGGATATCGCCATCTTTGTGAGGAAATTTTTTCCTCATAATCTGACAGCAAAATTTAGACTTTTTGCATATGCAGTTATTATCCAGATGGGTTTCTGAACTTCTGAACAGCAAAAAAAAAACAAAAAAAAAAAACACAGGCTTTTTTTCAAATCTGACTCAAACCACATATAGAGATGGTTTAAAATGCATTTTGAATCAGATTTTTACAGATGTATCTCAGTCTGGATGCTCATGGCTGCTCAAATTGGATTTCAAGTTGTCTTTTGTGTCACTCTTAACATGACACACAACGATCACGTCAAAACCGGTGATGGAAATGCCATAAGTATTCATACAGTATTCAAACAAAGCTGAAGCCGGCTGTGATTCCGGAACATCACAATATTTAAATGTACAATTTCAATTTCAAACACTTTATTTGTCGCCTAGGGGCATTTCACAAGGTCAAATAGAGTAAACAATACACATAAGAGACATCACACATGATGTGCACAATATACGTATTAATAATCTGCTACAGGCAGATACTTAAAAAATATGTCCAAACCATTTCTGAGTACAATCCAAATACCAAATATATAGCAGTCTCCTCCATCACAGAGTTTTTCTTGTGCGACAGGGCACTTGTTTAGAGAGCGAGATGATGCACCTCCAGTTTTCCTGCATCTGTTTTGAAAGCCTTGTCACATTCGTATGTGCAGATAAATGGTAAATGTTACTGCATTATTGCATAAAAAATATGGTCCGCTAATTCTCATTATTCAGTTAAAATTGCTCTTCTAATTGTTGGTTTAAGTCACGATAGACAGAAGATAGAGAACAGGCAGGAAATGTCTGTGGCTAATTATAGCTGCCAAAATCTCACAATTCTGTTTCTGTATTTGTTTCAGACCCAAACCACCGTCGTGAAAAACACCTCTGATTAAATGGCATTAAAAACCGAGCGATACTGTGGTTCTGAAAAACTCAGACGTCTGTATTTCTTCAGTTCTTGGTGTTGAGTGAGGATGATCTCATGTCAGTGTTAACAGGCCTCCGGTGTGCTGATATCATCACTCACTCGAGGAGAAAACTGATTGTTTCCATTTCATTTATGATGTCCAGAGTAAACTTCTCTCACAGGACTGAAATAATGGCACCAGTCAAAGCATAAACAATGTGTGCATTTCCTTTCACATGCAGATAGAAAACTAGAGAGACCTGCGATCTCCCACGGCCCACACTTGAACTGAATAAAGTCCTCTGCCCTCCCACTTCCCTGCCTTCACGTATACACACACACACACACTCCGTTCAATATCCTCGTCTGAGATTTTCACTCCAAATGGCCTCTAAAACGAGAGGAAAGATGATTTGGTGCACAACAGATGGGCACGGGGTGGCACAGACTGGCATTCACGATGCTCACTGCTGCTCATTAAAATGCAGATTCATAATTTCAACTCAACACATATTAGTAGAATAAAGCAGTCTGACCCATTACTGTTAACCTCAGTGTTGCCATATAGCGGCTCAAATCTATGGTTTTGGCAACACGTAACGGGTCATTGACAAATGTTTTCGAAAATGTGAAAACTAAACTTGTGAACGTGCACTGATCTCTAAACGAAAGTGTTTGTTCCTATCAGTAATTAAATACATTATTTAGTGTTTTCAATAGAAGTGTTGACACTGAAGGTTTGTAGGATGTTTGGTCATCTATCAAGTGTCACTTCAAGAAAAGAGGCTTTCTTCTCTCCATCCTGAAACCTCCTGCGCCACCCATGCGCCTCGTCTCCGACTCTGAATCTCAGCGTATAGCTTCCACTCGCTCAGAACCGGCTCGTCATCCATCATGCAACAGCAGGGTATGAATATTTATTAATCAAACATACAGTATGTGAACGGGCGGGTTAGTGAGATCTAGACGTGTCTGGCCTTCTCAGGCCTTCCTAGAAAGACATACGAAGAACATGACGTCGTTGATATAGTGTTGCGTTATATGGAATCGCTGGCCAAAAGTCACTTTGTTCCCCTGAGAAACTGACCCGGGGTCAGAAACTGGAGGTCCAGAAGCTTCTCGATCACTTGGCAACCCTTCCTTGCTTTGCCATTGGTCCATTTCATAATCTGCCAATCATCCTACACTGCCATTGTCATGGCGATGACAGAAGTGCTCTTTGTGTTGCCAGGAAGAAGCTGTGTGCCCGACTCAGAGACGCAGGAGCCCGGGGCCGAGGGAGTGGGGGCCGACACAATGCAGAGAGGATTATTGGCCAGAAGACAATTCAGCCACCTGGGAGAATATGTGTGTGTGTCTGTGTGTGTGTGTGTGTCTATAATCACCAATCATATTTATTCACTGCTGCATACATGCACTGAACTACGGCTGAGGCCCTTTGCACTGCAGTTGTTTTGCTCTTGATCTTTTCACTTTCTGAATGTTGAACTGTGGACTTGGATCTGCACCAGCCGCCTAATGAGCCGTGACACTATAGAAATACAGTAGAAACGAGTGAAGGGTTTTCTGGAGCAGATCCCAGTGAATCTGAAAAAATCTTTTAATCTACAGCATCAGCATTCTGTCTGATGTGTGTGTGTGTGTGTGTGTGTGTGTGTGTGTGTGTCTATAATCACCAATCATATTTATTCACTGCTGCATACATGCACTGAACTACGTCTGAGGCCCTTTGCACTGCAGTTGTTTTGCTCTTGATCTTTTCACTTTCTGAATGTTGAACTGTGGACTTGGATCTGCACCAGCCGCCCAATGAGCCGTGATACTATAGAAATACAGTAGAAACGAGTGAAGGGTTTTCTGTGTTGGACTGGCCATTTGGAGCAGATCCCAGCGAATCTGAAAAAAAAAAAAATCTACAGCATTCTGTTTGATAACAATAGTCTAGTCTCTAACGTGATCTTCGCGATCATTAAGTATCGTTATCATTACTGTTACCACACACAAACATCTGCTGCAGCTGTGAAGTGACCTCTGACCCATGACCTTTAACCCCAACCGGTGCTGGGTCAATCATGATTTGTCTTTGCACCAAAAATGATGTTGTGAAGCGTGTAGATCAATAGTTCATTATACCGCAGTTAATTCGGGTAATTTAATTTAATTTGCTGCTGTCTTGCAGTGGAACTGGAGCATTTCTCAGTTTCTATCACTCAATATCCCATCGGTCTCTGTAACACAAAATAATCAGCCTTACTATGCCTTCAACACAAGTTACTCAAAATGTGTAAAAGCAACAACAGAGCCGAAATGGAAAATGACTAGCATCTTTCCCAGTCAAGGAACAAGTCGAGTCGCAAACCTTTGATAACGTGAAATCACATTTGTGGCTTAAATCAAGTGGCTTTTAGACCTCCAAAGCAGAGTTGGTGTAAATTTCTTCTCTTCAGTAAAAATCTGTTTTCTTACTTTTTAAATGATGTGGAAACTTGGCTGGATACTTTGACTTCTAACTGATGACAGTCAGAAAAATACCTTCTTACACTTACAGGCGATTCCAAAGCTCTTTGTTGTCTCGTCTCCCTTGAATCTCACTTTCTGTCCTCTCTTTCTCTCTTCAGCTGAAATGCCGTTACCTTTTGTCTGTCCATCCATATCCATGTCCATTCAGAAACTGTTTTGCAATGCTCAGAGCTGGATAGATTACTTACAAATTGTAGTCCGTTACTGATTCCAAATTACATGACAAATACCGTAGTTAGTAATATAATCCATTACATTACACATTTTAGGTAACATAATCAGACTATTTTTGATTACTTTTAGATTACTTTTAACGTAACCCGTTTTCCACATTGATTTAAATAGGATACTATTGTACCATATCGATATTAAAATGCAAAGAAAATATATTCCATTCATTGTTATTAACAACATAAAGTGAATTAAGCATTACATTTTGTCAAGGTTTCCCAAACTGGGGTTTAGGAAGGAACTGCAGGGTGTTTGTGAGTTTAATGAAAAGCTAATAATTAATTAAGTCATAAAAATGTAAAATAAAAAAAAAATATTTTAATCAAAATAAAACACTTACTAAAAATGAAATATTGTGTTTACCTGGATGACATGTAGACATTTTAGAAAGTAACATTTAAAAGATGAAAAAGAATTAGGGAGAATCAATAAATTATGAATAATTTATTGCTATTGTGTGAATATATGTAATCCAAGTAATCAATAAAAAAGTAACTGTAGTCTGATTACGAGTATTTTAAAATGTAATCTAATTACAAGTACTTAATTTTTGGAATCTGATTACGTAATCCAGATTACTTGTAACTACCCAGCACTGGCAATGCTTCTTTATCAGATTCATG